TTAATGATACCTTGTATGAGATGTTACAAAAAATGCTTGGTCATACTTTCAGAATTTAGATTGTTTTCTTCAGCTCTCTAAAGTTGAGAACTAACACACTTTTTTTTTTTTTTCCCTTTATTCTTCTTTGAAATTCTTTGGTTTAATTGGATTCACACTCAATGAATTTAAGGATAATGAGGCATGACGTGTCAATTATTTTTCATGTCAGTTTTAAAAAATCCTTATTTTTACCTCTTTATAATAAGATGATGTGCAGTCACAGCTCTCAATTGCAGAAGAAGCCGCTTCTGACAAAATAAATATATAAATAAATAAAGCTCATATTAAATCTGTTTATCTCTCCGTAATGCCTGCCAAAGGTTTGCTTTTGAGGATGAAAATGAGTTTAGACTGAAAATGAATCAACTCCCCAACTGAGCATATTTTAGAGCGCATAAAAAAAAGCCAGTATTCCCCTCGAAAGAGAAAAAAGAGCCCAACCAATTACCCTGTATGCCTGAATCATTCCTGGAGCAACTCCGGAGTTATGCACATTTGGGTCGATGGGTCCCCAGGTGCATTAGGAGAACTGAAGTTAGAGATTTCTTGTCTGATGTACAGGATTGGATGAGGGTGGTAACTGCACTTGGAATGGGTGGATTGGGATGTCTAATGGCAGGGTCTATTCTCTCTTGCCTTTAAGCTGTAGTGTTACACACTAACAAGGGTGTAGCAGCAGAAGGGGGAAGGTCTCTCTTCACTGTTTTGAAATAGGTGATTCTGTGGCCTGAATAAATCCATACTAAGTCCATAAATGTAGTCTAAATTTCTGTGTTGGAAAGGCAGATAGTTTCTCAATTGATATATGCTGGCATGTCCTTTAGCATCATTTACATGACAGTCAAGTCACTTACTATCATCACACAGAGGCATAAAACACTCTATTCATTCTTATTGTTAATAAGAATCGGTGTTCTGCAGAGTTTAACTCCAACCCTAATCAAACACACCTAAACCAGCTAATAAAGGTCTTATTAGGTATACTTCAAACTTCCAGGCAGGTGTGTTTGATTAGGATTGGAGCTAAACTCTGCAGGACACCGGCCCTCCAGGAGCGAGTTTGGTGACCCCTGCATAAAACACTCTGTGTTGTTATGTGGGTATGTAAATGGTGTTTTGCAATAAAAATTTTTTTTCAAAAATGTTTTCAATTTTTTCACTTTTTCTTCTTATATCTTTTGGTGATTATTATTAGTAGCCATATCAGCTCTTTTTTTCAGACATATATATATGTGTGTATATGTATATTATTGAAATGTATACAAGGTTCATTAACATAATTAACAATTAATATAAAAAATATATACATTTTTGGTAAATGTTATAAAAAATAAATAAATATATAGTATTTTAATATATTTTGAATATATATGGAGTTTAACATTTAACAGTAATTTTTTTAATTTTTCTGTTAATTACGTTACATTTTAGTAGTATTTTAATCAACAATTACCCTTGCACACTTGCAGGTAATCGATTGGTGCATAGGAAAAACAACCAAAAAAAAAACAGGTCCAACTTAAAAACAAAAAAACAATAAATCACACACACTATTTGCACTTCCAAATGTATCAAAATATAAATGTATTCACTCACAATG